GCCTTTGACCTAGTTGAGCCTTTCATTTGTGATAATATTGGTTAATGAGGGTTTGCCTTACTTAACCCTGGCTGGTAACTGGAGTTTAAACTGGAGAGACCAAATGCGCACGGACCCGCGGGAACCTGCATCATCGAAAGTTCAGACCTGGGAATCTTTTTTATGCCAAGAACTTTTGAGTTCTCTTGTCCAGTTTAAGCAGCGACAAGAGAGAAGTCCACGAAGCCGCACCGAACCTCCCTTTTCTTCTGCTGCGATGCCTCTGGCATTGAGACCTGCAGCAGCGCCATCGCGGAGTCTACTTCGATATCTGCACGCCCAATCCGAGGGGCTATGCTACGCAGAATACCGCAGCATCGGTGTCCGCCGCACTCTTTCCACCACTACCAGTACTCGTCGTAATGCCTGCACCGACAGCACAACAAAAAGTCGCGAGACACAGCAGCAGTCAGTAACAGGGAAGGGAATTGCCACACCGCACCAGGCTGGGTTGCTCCCACCACTCGATCTACTTATCCCAAAGTCTCTGAGGAAACAAAGTGCGAAATCACCGACGGGCACGACGACACCTCGATATTATGCCTCTTCCAGTAGCCAGAAACCACCATCTGATAAAGTAGGAGAGGACGGGGAGGAGGGGTGCAAGAGGTCGTGGCAAGACTGGCTGTTTGGAAGCGCGCCGAAGAAGGCGAGGCAGCCGTTGAAGGATGACGATTTGCCGGTGCAGCTGGAGGAGGAGTCGGGGAGTATCTTTCAGAGGAGGGCGTTGACTTCGAAGGCGGCGCTGGATCCGAGGTTAAGGTGTACCGAGGTGGACGGGAATGGGGATGTGATTATGGTGGATGGTGAGTTGAAGAAGAGTGAGCTTATTGCCAAGGTATGGAAAAGAGCCAGAGACTGTTGAGTGGTTAGGTGGTAGGCTGACATTCTTGTGTGTGTGTCTGTGTGTGGAATAGTATGGCCTTCTTCCTCGCGATCTTCGAAAGATTGACTCGTCTAACCTGCCGCATATTCTCGTTCGACCGTCGGCTATTCTGCTCAACTTGCTGCACTTGAAGGTTCTGATCAAGCACGACCGGGTGTTGCTGTTTGATGTGTACGGATCCAAGTCGTCGTATCCGCAGTCAGCGTTTATGTATGATCTACAGGGGAAGCTTCAGCAGAAGCAAGCGGCCGGGGCGAACAGTTTACCCTACGAGTTCAGGGCGCTGGAAGCTGTGCTGATGTCGGTGACCTCAGAGCTGGAGGCTGACTTTGAGTCGGTGCGGGACCCAGTCATTCGTGTGCTCAGCGAGCTTGAGGATGATATTGATCGGGAAAAACTCCGAATTTTGCTTGTCTTGTCCAAGCGGGTTAGCACGTTTGAGCAGAAGGCAAAGTTGGTCAGGGATGCTATCGAAGAGTTGCTCGAGGCTGACGACGATCTTGCGGCTATGTACCTCACTGAGAAGACACACGATCTATTCCGTGGGGAGGATGACCACACCGAGGTTGAGTTGCTATTGGAATCGTACAACAAGATTTGCGATGAAGTGGTTCAGGAGGCGAGCAACTTGGTCTCGAGTATCAGGAACACGGAAGAAATGTACGTGCCCAGCAGATCTTATTCCTTTTAGCTGAACACAGCTAACCGAGCACTAGTATCCGTGCAATTCTTGATGCCAACCGTAACTCGCTCATGCTGCTCGACCTCAAGTTCAGCGTTGGCACTCTCGGACTTGCCATGGGCACCTTCTTGGCAGGCCTGTACGGCATGAACCTGGAGAATTTCATAGAGGAAACCAACTGGGGTTTCGGTGCCGTCACAGGGGTATCGTCCATTGCCTCGTTGTTTGTCTGCTGGTACGGATTGGTGAAGCTCCGCAAGATTGGTCGGGTCAAGATGAATATTCACGACGTGCGAAGAGGGGGCGGACAGAGCCACTGGTACCGTGAGGACGGCACCGATGTGTTGCTTGATCCTACCAACCGCGAACGCTTGAGGAGGATGAACATGCTGAAGAACGCTAAGCAGCCCAAGGCCAAGAAGTGGCCATTCTGATGACACCCCCGAACATATGAAAATGAGGAGCGATGTTGTGGTTACTACTCACTTGTTGTGTTGGTATTGGCGTTTTGGGGCATACAAAAGGAAAGCGAGTAATAGACAGGGGCGTTAGGGGTTAGGGAAGGCACCGCTTTATACCTCTTTTATTAGGGATTTTCTTCGACATCTCAGCTCAGCAGGAGGGCAAGCATATTTTTGTATTATCATGACGCAGCGTGTACAGATATTGGATTGAGCCGGAGAAGGGCTGATGTATGATCAGGAGCAGGAACAGGACAATAACAAAACAAACCAAGCAGATGTGCCTGCCGTAGCTCAAGACTTGTCCACAAAACTGACTCGGGTCATTCGGTCTGTCCTATTGTAGCGCACGTGCATTACCTAACATTCATCCCCTTTCACCGAACTTGAGTCGATGAATTCCGTTCCCCGCAGTCCACTCCTGCATGGGGGCACTTACCCCACTATCCCCAGGGCTCTCCAAGGATCCCGAAAGTGACGCATTTGCCACCCCTCTGCCGCAAAGCATCCTGATCTGATTCGACTGTACCTCTTATACACCTTGCGTCAATGGTATAATCGTCGGAGAGACGAAGAACACAGCATTAAAATACACCGGCCGGCACTACGGGGTCAATAATTTTTGGGGGTTTCAGCTACAGCTCTTAAGGTCATCTAAACCACCCGGACAAGGACAACAAACCGTTGTCGTTGTTTCCGAGGCTCAGAACTGAAGGTCAGTCAGTATCAGACCACTTTTTGGAGGCTTTCCACTCAGCATCAATGTGAGTTTTTGGAATCTCAAAACTGCTGGTTATATAACCTGCCGACACTCCCCCGTGACATATGTTCGATATGTGAACTGACTGAACAATAGACCTCACCCATCGTCTATCACACGAAATAACAAGTCAAGATGCTGCCTCACACCCCCTCCGAGTCTCCCCCTTCCAACCTCGCAGCGTTGGCGGAGGACCACTACTTCAGCGCCAATCCGCCGCCAAAGGACCTCCAGAAGCATGTCGCTCTGGCGAAGGACTTTATTGACTTTCATTCGAAGGCGGGGAGGAGGTTGGTGTTGGTGACGTCAGGTGGTACTACCGTGCCTTTGGGTATGTTGACTTCTTCTGAGTGAAAGGAGAAGGGAGAGATTAAGTGCTGATGAGATGAAAACAGAGAAGCAGACTGTGCGGTTTATTGATAACTTTTCGGCTGGTACGAGAGGAGCTGTAAGTGACATATGGTAGTGTTGGTTGCAGACCCCTTGTTGCCAGAGATGACGACATGCATTCCATGTTGATATTTAGGGGGTGAAGCCCCTCTGGCTTCCGTGTCTCTATCTCCGAACGACAATCAAGGCTTGGATCTTGAGAGAAGAGGATACTGACTATGGACTTTAGACTAGCGCCGAGTACTTTCTAGAAGCCGGCTATGCAGTTCTCTTCCTGTGAGCACCCATCAGTTACCCTTTTTATATTCGTCAGCCAGGCTGCTAACATTTTCAAACAGTCACCGTCAATTCTCCCTCCTCCCCTACTCCCGCCATTACAGCCACGCCACCGACTGCTTCCTTGACTTCCTCCGCGAAGGTCCCAACGGCAGTGTGGTAGCCCGCGATGAGGATGCCGGGAAGATGCTGAACGTCCTCCGGAAATATCGCGAGGCCCGTGACAAGAACATGCTTCTTGTTCTTCCCTTTGTCAGCATCTCTGATTACCTCCATGAGCTCCGCAGCATCGCGCAGTTGATGAAGCCACTGGGACCTAAGGGGTTGCTGTATCTCGCCGCGGCAGTCAGCGACTTCTTTGTGCCTGTATGTTGCTCTCTTCTTCTCTTCTCCCTTGTATGCTGTTGCTAACAAAACCCTAAAGCCTGACCGCATGTCTGAACACAAAATCCAATCTACCGACGCAGCCGACGCATTCAACAAGAAGTCGAAACCAGCATCAGAAGAGGAAGAAACCTTTGACAACTTTGACTCATCTCCTTCTGTGCCCCGGAGCAAGCGCCTCGTTGTCGATCTCGACCCCGTTCCCAAGTTTTTGAAGAACCTGGTGGAGGGGTGGTCACCAGAAGGGATGATCGTCTCCTTCAAGCTGGAAACCGACCCAAAGATCCTGGTGCACAAGGCGAAATACTCACTGGATCGGTATCAGCACCACCTGGTGATTGGGAACCTGCTGTCGACGAGGAAGTGGGAGGTGGTGTTTGTCAGTCCCGGGAATCCGGACAAGTGGATTCGGATACCACAGGGTGGGGCGGCGCAGGATGGTAACAGAGAGGAAACGGAGAAGGACGAGCCGTTGGATCCAAAAAGCTTGCCTGAGCAGGAGCCGGAGTTGGAGATTGAGAGCTTGATTATTCCTGCAGTGGCGGAGTTGCATACTAAGTATATAAAGACAATGGAGGGGAAGAAACTGGAGGATTGAAAGAGAGAGATAGGTAGGATGGTGGGGAAAGGAGGGTGATTTTATTATTTGTTTAACAGGCACGCAAATAGACAGCACAGCAGAAAAGCAGGCGGGCAAATGGGTATTATGCATGAGTTGAAATCGAACAGGCATGGCGGCTTTCTGTTTGGTCTTGTTTACTTTTAGAAGCTGTATTCCAATAAGATAAGCAGGTTGGCACGTTACTTTAGTCAAATTTACATCGACTTCATCCTCTAAAGTTAAATGTTCCCTCAAACTTCGCCATGCCAATCCGTAAGTAGCTAGAAAAAGGTTTTTGGAGATATTTCTGGAAAAGGCTTCCATCCGTGTATTTTTAAGATGGGATAATAAAAAACCTTTAGTTGTCCCTACCCCTGCCCCATGTACCATCTTCGTTGTCACTTACTTATTAGTGTGGTGATGGTGGGTGGTGGTTGTCTTTCTGTCTCGACCGCTCCTAGCCAGCTTCAAAGATATTATTTTCCGCCGTGAAATTTCAACAAGAACAATAACAAAGTACAGGGCGTGTGGCTCAGTTGGTAGAGCGTTCGCTTAGCATACTTGTAATCTCCTGATTATCAGGGATTTCTATTGTATGCGAAAGGTCCTGGGTTCGATTCCCAGCTCGTCCAAATTCCCTAATCTTTTGGGCCTCATACTCTTGGCAAGAAGAACTTGATTTTTTGATGCTTCTACCTACCGACTTATGTGGTAGTTTCTTGTTTCATGTCATTTGTGTATTGTAAATCGTTTTTGGTGAGAGAGAGATATAGTGAGAGGATGTAGTCAAATAGGTTTAGAACTTGAAGCTATCGTCGATGTCCCGCTCACTGGTTGGTAAGTTGGGAGGCGGGCAAGTTACGGGCAAGTCCAGACGATATATTTGACAGTTAACAAGTATTATCGCGCCCTCTCGTTACTGGAGAGAGAGATATTAGAAACGGCTTCGACAGCGCCTACGGCAACAGGAAGCTGTGTAGATGAAGGGGCGAGGTGCCGTTCTCACTCTGAACTGAATATTTTGGTTCGACTCCGACTTTGTGACTTTCTATGTGCGACAGACGGCTCGATAATGAGGCTTTATTGGAGGGGTTGAGCTGACCTTCCTTCAAATATTTTGGCAATATCAGCTAATTTACATTTAAGGGCAATCCAGTGAGAAGTATCGATCCTAACAGCAACGCCATGTTTTGTCACTTTTTACTTTTTTTCAGTGGCAGAACTGGCAAAGACAAGTCCAACTCCGCTTCGATTCATGGAATGTTTCTGAGTCTGTCTGGTTTGTTTGTTAGGTATGTAAAGGAGAGTAATCAAGGGTCCAGTGACTCTTTCAAAGCATGAAATAGTATGAAATAGTCGACCAGAAAACGATTCGACGCTTAGGAATATGCTCTTGGTCACTGAGCTCTTTAGAAATGGAACAGAAAATACCCAGAGGTAGTGAACGACAAGGAAAAGGGGTTCTCTAGAGACAAAGAGACCTCCCCATCTCGGACTTCCGCGGCCGGCTCACTATCTGCAGTTTGTGTCTCTAAACTTTCTGAGCCTCCACCACTCTCTATCTCATACATCCAGCCTGCTGCACACCCCCTATTCAGTGTCTCTCCTTGCTATCTTGGGGCAGTCATTTCCGTACGACAGTTGCCTTGTACACAAGAACATGCCATGATGTCTGTCGGTTCGGCAATGGGATACCGTCTTTGTCAAAAAACATTTGAACTTCCTATTGCTATCACCCGAGTTACCCTCATCACCCTTGTCCTCAATAGCTATTGAATGATGCTTTGCCAACCCCCCCCCACTAAGTCTTAGCCCCAGCCCAGGCTATTTCACAAGTGCCCAATGATAATGGACTGAAGTTAAGGCTGATGGACAATGCCGATACACAATATTGAACTGAGACATAACACACCTCAACGACCCCAACAAAAGTCCAGCTTCTTCAGCCCACGAAAACATGAAGACCCTACCATTGAATCCTGCCGTGGAAACCGCCACGCAATTACGGCCCGAGCCATTAGACAGAGAAGCGGCAAGAAAGAAACACCCGTCTTCTCTCGGGATTGGGAGAACCATCCCACCGAGGGAAGCCTCATCCATCCATGTGCACATCTCATTTTATAATACCGGTAGGTTTAAACGCCCAATGTTCACGCTTGGAGCCGAACCTCCCCCCTTGAGATTCCATCCACCAAGAACGCAAACTCATATCCCACGTTGCAGTGGCGCCACGTGTGAAAGCAGGCTACCGGCCTGTTCGTTGCTCAATATCCATGGTCAGAATAGGGGGCGGCTGGACGGGTGGCTTTCCATCCGGCAATCCAACGTGATGATGGTTGGCTATCATTTGTCTAACAATGTCCATCTCTCCTCTCAGCTTCCTGAATAGGAAAACAAGAGGAAGAGCAAAAGGCAAAAACATCAATAATGGCGATGTTGACAGCGCATATCATGGCCAGAAAGCAGACCTGGCATGCTTGTAGGAATATGGACAGTATTAGCCGCCTGCTCCGGTAACCTTCGTGGTGGTGCTTTTATCTACAGCAATCAAGGCATCTTCCCGCGGTTTCTACACAGCAGTGCTATTCGGTTGGTCTGCAGTCCATCCCAGCAATGCAGATAAATACCAAACAAGCCTTGCTTGACACTTTTGACGAACAAGCTATCTGGGCTGTCCCGAACAACGGACACCTGTGGATGGATCGTTGGTATCTAACCGATTCGCCCATGTCCCATCAATGCCGTCCTTACCCTCATGCACCTTGCGCAATTATCCGTACACGAGAAGACTTATATATGTGGAATGTCGATGATAGGGGCATGTCGGCGTCAATATGAACCTGCATCGGGCCGTGGTGCCCACGACTCTCGCTCCAGCTCAAAGGGGCCCCGAGCAGTTGGTAAGACGCTCGGAAATGCACCGCGGAAAGTTTGTGTCAGAGACAGATTGCCAAGAGATGTTCTCGCTATGTGTACTCGGGATGCCATTGTGTCACAAACTTCTTACCAACAAGCCTCTCCATTGGCCACTTTGACCTCGAGCGCGAGCTGTGCAGCAGGTCGAGTCCGGTTGGGCGGTAAATTTGCCTGCCAGCCTGTGCTTTCGGAATCGACAAAGTCCCTGGAAGGACAGACCGAAGAGATAATCAGAAGTGCTGACAAAAATGGTTCCCCACTGCGTCAACTGCAGCCCGGTGCGCTGCGTGCCTTGATTATCAAATTATACAGGAGATGATGGGTGGCCCAACTGCAGGAGGGCGATATTACCGTCCGGTGAATGGTGCAATGATATCTATTATCGGATTCACTGTGAGGGGAAGCTGGACCCAAACTTCCATATTTCTTGGAAAATCTTTCAGGTTTCCTGGACGAAACCCCTGTATCCTGCAGGGTTCGAGTGTCGCTTTAACCCACCATGGACGGGCTGACGGGGGATAGGAAAGCGACATCGAGATGGCAGTCCGGAAGGGCGTTGGCAATGGTGTCCGCCGTGGCGTTTATCGTCTGAAGAATTGTCTTTGTCCATGCCAATCCTCATCTTTTCGAGGTGATGACCCGCCAAGATGAGGCTCTCTTTGGCGTTTTGGCCGGGCGTACTGGCCTCATCAAGCGCTCGGCATCGATGGGCTTGTCCGTTGAAGGTTGCTTCCGGAGATTTTACGCCGCAACGGTCAAACCCCCAGGCTGTTGAGACACGGGCGAAGATGTGGGAGGATGGCGTTTCGCAGATGGGAATCTATCAGCCAGTATTCGAGAGATAGCGGGATAATGATAGGGCATCGCTATTGGTACGGAGCGTTTGCAGCGGAATTAGCACCTGCCAGAGTGCTGCCATCTTGAACGGTAAATATTGTCAAGGTAGGACCCCTACCTGAGCAAAACCTTTCGAGCCTCGAATTGTTCAGATCGAGATGTTTATGAGGGCTTTGTAGCGGACGCTCTGTGAATGAATAGGAGCTCACAGTGGATGGCAGAGCTCTATGATGCGAGAAGGGCTGCATTGCAGTACCGAACTCCGAGTTGCTCGCATGCTAGGTCAGGACCCCGTTTCGGGCTTGAAGGAGTTCCTCTTTGGGATGTCTATGAACATCGAGATTCTGGTTGAAGAAGCAAATTGGTGAAGTGTGATCGGCGTCTTGTTGATGCTGGAGTGATCATTGGCAGGCTCTCTTCGAATTCGTCAATTGACCCCGCTTGCCTGAGGCTGCAAAAGTTGGAAAGGGGCTCCATTAACATGCGTCATTCATCTGAAATTCTGAAATCGAGCAAAGACAGGGACCCACCAGGTGCGTGGCGCCAAGCCACAGACCTCGTCCAAGTGCGACTGCCCAGCATCAGCTCAACAGGGGCAGTGGAAGGCGCACTCTTTCAGAGACTCAATTCAATAGAAGTCCAGTCAAGACAAGTCTAGAAAGAAGCTACGGTATTGAATTGGCTGCGACTCAGAAGACAGCTCTCTTGAAATGACTCTATCGTTTGATGCTCAACACGGGCAGTGTACAAGACCCTCGTCTTACCCAGATAGTAGGCAGTACGGGTACAATACTTAGGTATCCCAAACATGCATGCAGTAGATGCAGCGCTTCCAAGCCAGCACCATTGCATCGCTTCGTGTCATAACATCGTTCGACACAATTCAAAAGCGGTGTGCCGTCCTCAGAGTCAACAAACATTTTGTCCTTGACACCGTTTGGTTTGAGCCTCTGAAGGGATCCTCTGCTTGTATCCATATGCGTAGGACGAGTGTCTGGATCCTACAAAGATAAGTGTACACTAATAAAAGGTTTATTGTCAGCCTAATACAAGGAACTAAGAATGCACTACCACTCTATTCCAAGGTGTCATTATTTGTGAAGGGAGGACATTCAGGGTATTGGACTCTGGAACGGGCAAAGAGATTGTGTCCATATAAAGGCCAGGATAATTCCATGGAAGAAAGGTTCCTACATGAATTTCTTGGAAGTCGGCCAGATTTGAGGTTGCTTTTCATCCGAATGTGGGCAGAAATGGTTGAGTTGGTTGTGAATCGGACGGTAAACGGACGGTAAACGGATACCGAAGAGAGCCATCAGGAACCCTCAACTGTAGCTTCTTCATTGGCCTGAAACAGGGACAGAAAGAGTCGTGATAAAAGAACCAAATCCGGACTTTGTAAAACCCACATCCACTCCGGCCTTGGCAGGTGGCCTCTCCCGCCACACCAACTGTCACCTTATCCAACGTCCAACATGCGGAATTTCCAACGTCGGGTCTGTTTCCGGGACATACACACTCCCGTCAGTTAGAGAAGGATCTGGACGGCGAGAAATATCAAACTGTCATCTCAAACCACTTGTGTCGTCGTCCAATCTACTATTCTCGACCGTCCCAGAGCACTAGAGCGGTCGAGAGAAAATCCAAATGCCCCTGACCCTCCCACGTCACTGGAAGCATGTTGATATTTAACACGGGCTAGCTTCCGCTCAAAGCCACACGCCAAAGACCGCGTCACCGATCAGGTACAGGCCTAATGGGCCCCTGTTCCCTGTTGATGCTGCTCACATCCCTTCCGATCCACCTGGAAAATTGTCCAGGGCCGACCGTGAAAAAGTCTTGTCGGTCGCATCGGCTTGCGGAACAAGCGATCAGTTAT